TCTGAGGTGCTCACCAAGAAATCCAAATTTATTTACAGATTCCAATACGTCCAATGTATTTGATCTTTGTTTAAAAGTTAGCACTGAGAATTCAATTTTGTTAAATTTACCCCCACCAATATTTCCTTTGTTTCTCATTCCAGATAAAACCTGTTTTGATTACATTTGTTTATGATACATCTTATTCCAGTATTGTTTGCACATAATTTTATACTTTTGAAACTGTTGACCATATTTATAACATGATTTAACTGGGGATTTATTGCCAAATTCATCCTCTGCAGGATCAAGTTCGTTATAGAAATTGTTCCACTATTTAATACTACACTACAACAATTATTTAAAAATCACTTTTTTTTTGCATGTAAATATTGTCATTTCACAAGTAGTGGAGGAATTGGTCTAACTGACAAGTCTATTTTCTGTGTGCCATCTATCACCTGGTGTTCATAAAGTTCTCTGAGGTTTTTTTCTTATTCACCATGTAAATACAGTATATATACACTATATTTTTCTTGAAATCATTATAGTTCACATATCACACAAGAACAATAATTTCTCTTTATCAAAAGCAATCAAGTTGTTCCAACATTTAAATAGTTTATCGGAAAAAAATTATTTAAAAAAGACCTTACATTGTTTTTTCTATCATTGCTTTCTGATATCTTTTGATCTGTGTATTCCTGCCATAATTTAATTCAGACAGTTTGTGTTGTAATACATGACCCTCAAAAAGGTTGTGAATCCTGATACTTTCCGGAGTACAAATTTACCATCAATGAAAATTTACAATGTTTATGGAGTCATATTACATATTTGATAAAATGCTTGGGACTGTTACTAATCTAACAAAATGCGGCAATTGTATTGTATTGTATCTAATACTCGCACATTTCTTGGCCTGTCCAGAGACCTTTATAAACATGAACTTGTTGAGGCAAAATTTACATGTTTGTACGGGGGAGGAGGGGGGGTACATTGTGAATATTCCTGTTAGTGAAGGGGTATGGGTCAATGTCTCAAAAAAAAAAAGAATGATTTTATGCATTTAGTCCTATAAACGACAACAAAAATATTTTTTTTTATTGAGGTGAAATGTATATTAAAGGTATATAAATTTTATATAGAATGAATTTTTTAGGGATGTACTATTTGAGAGAAATCCATGCAGCTTTTATTGAATTTATTCAGATGTATCTTTAGTGAAGGATCTTAATTGTTAACTCATTGGTGATGTGCTGAGCAGTCCCTATTCCATGACACTATGAACTATTCTTTCTATGGTCACAAATCCAAATGCCAAAATCTGTTCACCAATTAACATTTGAGCTATTTCTCGATCTGTTTATTTGATTCTGAATATCCACTGCCATTTCCATTCACTGATGCATACTTTATTTTTAGTTGTTATTTGTTTTCGCTATTCTGAAACTGTGAATGTAATTTTTTTTTCATCCACTTCTCGAGCGATTGTCAAATCAATAGTTCTCTCAAATTCTGTGAAAGTAATTACCCACTAAAAATATAATCATGAGGAAATAGGCTTGTTAAGGTGAACTACTCAGCATTATGCATTTTATCTCATCCAGATTTAATGGCGATTGGTCTATGCAAATTTAAACTCACATTTACAGGGTCTGTGCACATCACCGTTGGGCTTTGAAATAAATTGATTAAATCAAAATCTGCTTCAATGCAGGTACAAAAATATGAAATAGAATTTACAGTTACTATATGAATATTTTCTCTGTGCTACTATTTTGTTTAAAGCCATACTTCAATATATATTTTATTTCTTAACCATTTATTGTGTTTTGGTAATTTTGTTTGTCAAACTTGTTCACTTACTGATACTTATTAGTTTTCAAAATTTGGGACTGTTAACAAGCTCTACCTTGAATGTAGCTATTTGTAGGGAACTGTACATGCTCGTTACTGTATGTCAGAAGTTAACATGCACATGTCAAGTTCACAATCTTTATCATGGTTTTAATTTATTTCTATTGTACATTTAAATAGCATGTATGTAACCTATGCACTGCCAAAAATATTCAAGATAAAAAAAAAAAACGCGTCTGTACTGAAGTTTTCATCATACAACTTTGTTTTATCCATCGTCAAATTTTGTTTATGGTTTTGCTTGGAATCTGTTTCGAACATTAAGATATAATCTTCAGTCTTGCATAGTTATTTTTTTCTGAATATCCATCGCCCCCAACATAAAGTTTCACTTTATTCTTCGAAGATGAGGTTTTCATGTTGGACCTTTCCATTGGTTCGTTTACATGTCTCAGTATATGCGAGTGAAACTGTCCATCGTCAAGGTTGTGTACCAGTGATATTCAAATGAAACTTGCCATGTTAAATTTACATAGTTAATCCTTGTGGTTAATAAGCTTTTTTTTTTAATTTTTGCTTTTCAGGAATAAAAAGTTTCACCCCAATATATGCGTGTTTATTCTAACTTGTTTTTTGTTGAAATTTTATCTGGCTACACATACAACAGAAGTCTGAAGGTGACCCTTAATTTACAAAGGCAGTTTCTTAGCTTTGTATTAAAAGGTCTCATGCCACTAATTAACCAATGCCTAGCAAGAACCAATGAAATTTTTTAAATATTATTTTTCTCAGGTGCTCCCTGTTTGAGGGCGTAATCACCTAGGTCAGAGGTGAGACCAACATGTGGTCTTTTGTTTACTACTTAGCGGCTGTGTACCTGTGAGTTTATTCTGTGTGTTAATGAATGTTCTAATCTTGGTGTTTTTCCAGTGATTTCTCTTGGTGCAATCCAAATACAGTAGGTGTGTCTTGTTTACCTGAGATTTGCAAGAGTTTGAACTGGCCAACATGTTAGTTTTTTTCATATGGTTGATTACTGGCATGTTGATTTCCCATTTTTGAGCCATATTTTCAACTTTCTTCGTCATTTTCATATAGCAATCTCGTCGTATGTTAACATTGTCTATGGAAATTCAATTAGTGGAATGAGCCCTAAAACTTGCATGCGTGATTCTTTTTTTTTTTTAAACCTTGTATATTGTAAGTACCGTTGAGGGCAGTATATAAGTAACTACAAAAAAATGGCTGGAAATAGTCTACATTCAACTTTTAGTTGTATAACAATAATGTGCTCGGATGGTTGCAGTG